AATAGCGCAGCGCGGATATTACGTCACAGATTTCGACCCCCCGCTTGCATTCGGACAAACGTTGAGGTCAATACAAGAGAAATGTATGTGGAATTTACTGGCGCCTCATTAAATTCGCTCCAAAATGCAGAAGTTTTGACAGAAAATGACGATTTTCCTGGTTCAAAGCTCCAAAATAATCCAGACAACTATACTGTCAAGCAATTAAAACGCTAGTTGAGATGTCGAGGTCAAAAAATGCCAGGAAAGCGAGTTGACTTGGACCGACTTGGTTGCTCGCGTTAAGAGACTCGTCCATCCTGGCCATGTGCCGTCTCTGACGATCTAATTGCTTCCATATCAATATATGAACTGTATGTTGGACTCAGTTTTTTAAATAGTTTTGTTTACATGACTTAGTAAATAACCCAATTCAGCTCTTTGGCTGCGATTAATTTTTGTTTAATAAACTATCTATAAGTCTAACTACGCTCGAGGATGAAGGACTTGGACATATGACGGACAAACCTTTATTAACGGACGAAAACATGTCGATTCCCGTTTTGTGCGATGTAACAAGGGCAACAGACAAGAGCGACCATTATTATGAAACTAACTTGCCTCATAATGTATTAGTCCTTATCCATACATAGTGGAACGGTAATACACGCTTCATGCGAACCGTGTTAAGTATCTGTGCTTGGCTGATGCAGCCACGTTGTTACCGTTTTATTGATGTTGTTGGACTACAAGAACAAGAATTGATCCATTGTAGGCATGGTTCGAGGTCATGAGAAGGCTTGAAAAACGGTATAAATACTTTCTTACTCAATTTTCTTAAATTCTTTGAGAGACTGAGGCATTCTATCTGTATATCGTGAATCTGTATTGCATCTGCCTGAACGCCAGTGCTTTTTTCCGATCATATTGATAAAAAATCCAGAGAAATCTAAATGAAATTGAAAGTTACATGGTCGCGCTACATACATTCACTACAAACTTGACCTCTTGTTTGTCCGAATCTCCGTGGGGAGTCTCATCTCTCAAATCTATTTTTAGTATATCCGCGCAGCGCTATTTATAGTTTACATCAATCTCTGGTCTTTTCTTTACAGGCGGCGGCGGTGGCGGCGGTGGCGGAGGTAAGTGTCACACTAAGGCATTCTGATAGGCAGTCACGTGATATCTTTGAAGGCAGTCACGTGATATCTCTGAAGGCAGTCACGTGATATCTCTGAAGGCAGTCACGTGATATCTCTGGAACAATCAAGAGATCAAGACCCAGCAACTGTTTGAAATATCTTATTGAATGCAGTTTGATATTCATTCGTAAAAACATTTTATAGGATGTAAAGACCATTCTTCAAGATGTCCGAAATATTCTCGGTATTGCAATCGTCCTTGGATTCAACGTAGATGCCCAAAGACATGCAAGAAATGTAAGTCTGTTTGAATTATTTATATTCGAAAATTTATTGTATATCAATTAATAATCTTCAAAGTAAACATGATTTATTGCTATGTTTAAAAGTCAGTGAATTTTATGACGTCAAGCACTATAAACTCATTAAATGAATGAAACTGATGCATTTTGACCTCACAAGGGACCATGGACAGAGAGAAAAATCCTCCTTTGTTTTAATATCCTTCTGTTTTCGATGACATATTTCCTTACACCAGGTTACCCATATGGACTGGAAACTCGACACAGAAATAAACTCAAAAGTAACAAAATAACTCAGTATTCATTTGAAACATTCATCAGAAAGGTTCTTGTACTCATTTTGTCCGTAATATACGAATGGTCAGCTTCTTGCAATTATTTACACATGTTTACATACCATTATTTTTCTTTCAGGCTAAAGTTAATGCCAAATAACCTCAAGAAAACTGGCATATAGGGGTTTAGATATTAACGAACATTCAAAAATACAACAAAAAATAATAAAATTCATTGAAATGAAATCAATTTGCTGTGTTACATTCGTATTAGCCTGCGTTCAGGCGTTCCTCGCACGCAGGCTACATTTGTATTGTTGCAATGGCCACACAATGACACAGGGAACCCACCTTACGCTGTAAAACACTCTATTCTCCCGTAATGCTTAAAATTACTTGCGATTGATGTAATTCATTAGCACCAAATTTTAATAGTTGGCATTTCATGGTCTTTCGTTTCATGGGCCTGATATCACACGCACAGTTTCAAGAACAAAGCACTACGTACAGATTGCTACTAAAGGCCATGATAGACACCTTGTTTATATGATTGCTAGGCGCATAAGCAAATCAGAAAGTTAGATTTCATGACGCAGAAATACGAAAATAAAACAAATCGTAAAACGAAAGGCAAATCCTCAAATTCCCGTATCCAGCATATGTCACTTTCTTATTGGTTAATAGAACAATAGCTTACAGCTGTCCAGCATATATCGCAGCATCAGGGAAGCCTGCAACTTTCTGCCACGTTGGCTTACATTCACATATCAACTTGTTTATTCTGGTCAATCGTTTTATTTAAAAGGCTTTTGTGCAGCTGTTAAGCTAATATAGGTGTTCTAMAGGAAGTGTGCAGTGTGATTTTGAAGTAATTCACGATGAGAGCTGCTATTATTTGCGTTTTCTTGCTCGTTTTGAGCACAACTTATGCAGAGGAGAGTCACCGGCCTAAAGCACACGAGGATAAACTAGCTGATGCTGAACATTACGTTGACGGTGAACACAATCCTGAGCATGATCATGAAGCTTTTCTAGGTGACGAAAAGGAAGAATTCGATAATCTAGCCCCAGAGGAAGCAAGGAAAAGGCTTCGTGTTTTGTTAAAGAAAGTCGATTCTGACAAAGACGGTGCCATAACAACAGAAGAACTTACGGAATGGGTCAAGAAAGTCTTCAAAGAACGCTCTCTACATGGTGTGGAAAAGGACATGGAAGATAAAGATACTGATCACAATGGCATGATAAGCTGGAATGAGTATATCAAGGGTACGTATGGTGAGACGGGAGAGGATGATGACGAAGTTAAAGAACTTTTACAGCGCGATAAACGCCGCTTTGACGCTGCTGATGGCAACAAAGATGGCTCTTTAAACAAGGAAGAATTTGGGACATTCCTGCACCCAGAGTCCTCACCAGAGATGGGAGATGTTCACATTGCTGAAACTATAGAAGGTAAGGGTCGTTTACACCGTTCAAACCATTTTTATTGCTAGAAATACCCGGTTAATGCCTATGCTAATATTGTTTACACAATATCTACACCAGTCTTATAAATGTTTGAGTAGCTTCCAATATGCCAACAACTTAAATTACAAGATGTTATATTGAACTCAGGAGAATGCTGATCTAAATTGTACAATTTATGAATCAAAGCCATATTTTAAGATACTGAATTTCACACTGTCTTAACAATAATTCGTATATACAGTGGTAGCAGCTGCCTGTTGTTTGGGTAACATCTTACCTGCATATTAATAGCTATATTTACATAAAGAAACTGAATTAAAGAAGAAACTTTTAAGTGTTACGAATAATTATGATATCTATGAATGTTACTGTCAACAATTTTTACAGCTGGTTAATAATAAAATCACAAATCAGAGAACTGGATGCTGTTAAAATTAATAAGGAGATATCCAGCAAAGTCAGAGTGTGCGGTCTTTTGTTTTGTCAGAAAACAAAGATGATGTTTTGTGCTTATTCGTGATTATTTGTCTTACAGATATTGACAGAGACAAAGATGGTTTTGTCAGCCTAAAGGAGTTCCTTGGCGAATACACTGAGGAAGAAGGAGCAGAGACACCAGAATGGGTCCAGGAAGAAACCAAGCGATTCAATGAAGAATACGACAAGAACAAAGATGGTAAACTAGACAAAAGCGAAGTCAAAGAATGGATTCTCCCTGAGACTGACAGCATTATGGCATCTGAAGAAGCAAAACATTTAGTTACATCAGCTGATGATGATGGCGATGGCAAGTTGAATGCAGAGGAAATTGACAAGCATTATGCAGTATTTGTAGGTAGTGAAGCTACTGACTATGGGCGTGCTTTACCCCAGCATGAAGAACTTTAATACAAACTGACTCTAGTTTTGTTCAAGTTATAATATAAATGTGTCACTTGTAACTGGCATTAGCATTTATAGATAGACATTTCTTGCAATGATATTATTGCATAGTGCTTTTATGAAACAACATATTTGAAATAATTATCAGATAGTTCTGGAAATGCACTGAAAAATATTTACGACAAATCTTGCTTTTTAAAAATTTGCTACCTCAGATTTCCTTGAAATGTTTAGCGGTTTTTCCAGTGTTTATTATTCCAAAGTACCACTTGATTTTCATAGTAATTTAAAATAGTAAATCATAGTATATTGTCTGTAGAGTAAATGAATATTGTCTCAAAAACAAATTGTTATTAAACTTTTTCTAACTCAAGAGTGTTGTTGTGGTCAGATGTACCCATTCTAGTGTTGTATCAATTGAGATGAATACAGCAAAAAGTTAAGAAAACCAAAGTGCAATAATTATCATTACACATGTCCGATGGTGAGATAAGTATAATGTCAGTTGCCATTCAGTTTCTTTTTTTTTTTTTTTTTTTTTTTTTTTTTTTTTTTTTTTTTTTTTTTTTTTTTTTGCCATTTGCATTTTTCACTAAAATTGTAGTTAACATGACAAACTATGATAAAATATTATATGATTTTGACAATAGAAGATATTTTTACAAGATAGTTTTTGGTTATTTACAAAAAAAAGAACACCAGTTAAGAAATGAAAAGAGAGAATATAAATAACAAACGAAAGGCATTTCCTTAAAATCGATGACTGGTGATTAAGGAACACGTCATAGTATCAGTAAAGTTGAACGCATAAAATGACGTGTCCTTTCATGAGTGATTTGTAGTCCGCACTGTCTGGTGGATTAACAATTCAAATGCTAATAATTCTAGATGTACAGTCCATAGCTAATTCATAACAGACTCGTAGCGGTTCAAAAATAAATCGTGGTTGGAAACCATTTTCATACGAATCATGGAGAGATGAACAAAACAATCCCTAGAAAAAACTCGTTAGTAATCTCTGAGAGATGCTCGTGGATCTGCCTTCCGGCGTAAGATTTAGTTTCTTCTCTGATTTGTGATCAAGAATAATTGACCCATATCAAAGTTTTCTCACTAATTTCGATTCTTAAATTATGACTTTTATTGACTTAGCTCAGTCAACAACAGATGGCATCTTTACCACAACCCAGACAATACGAAAGAAGAAAGACGACGATGCGACACGAGCCAACTAAAAATAAAATAATGAACTGATTTAACTTTTATTACTTTATGGGGGTAAAATTAAATGATCCTTAATTTCACCACGGAAACTTAGATACTTAGAGACTTAAACTTAGAGATGTAAGGCGCGCAGTGTTACAAGTGACTTGGGCACCATTTTCTTGTCACTCTGATTGTAGAAAACAAGGAAGAACATACACTAAATGCTGTGTGTTCTGAAGCTAAAAGTATTTGAACTCATATCTCGCTTATGTTCTTAGATATTTCTAGCCAAAAAACTGAACAAAGAAATCAGAATGCCAAACATTACAATAACCGTACACGGCAGTGATGATGATGATGATTCAGAAGTGTACAAAACAGATCCCCAAACAATAAATTTGATTAATTACATGTAACCACATCTAGTTAATCAGCTGTAGTTTTAGTTATACGGCAGCCACTGATTGGCTGAAAACTGCGGTAACGGTGTTTAGTTCTTATTGGTTGAAGATTTACTTAAACAACCTTAAACTTATACTGTAACTCATACTGTTCCTTTTACGTGTAGATTTCAACCTCAGCAGCCTAAGTACCTTTAAGCTATGCGACCATACTATATAACAATCTTGTTAGCCCTTGCAGTATCAAAATCACAACAAACAGTAGAACCTCATCGTGATCACCTCTACCAACACGACCACTACAAAGGCTCAGAGCACGATGTTAGGTACGACCATGATGCATTCTTAGGACCTGACGCTCAGAAATTCGAGGAATTCCCACCAGAAGAGTCCAAGCTCAAGCTTAAAATAATTGTTACTACCAAGATAGATACAAATAAGGATAGCAAAGTTAGTCTGGAAGAGCTTGAGGCTTGGATTGAACGACAACGCAAAGCATTCATGTACGAAGCTATTGAAAAGAACATCAAAGAGGAAGATAAAAATGGCGACGGAAAGATTTCCTGGGAGGAATACAAAGCAGCAAAGTTTGGAGAGTGGGATAACAATAACTTACCTCAAGATCACGTAAGTAGCTTTTAAAATAGATATGAAATGTGAATTGTTTAACAATAAAATCAATGCGCAAATGAATGTTAACATTAAATCTTGACTATACTAGCGCCTATATGTATGTAAGTATGCAAACTGTATTGTACTATGCCGGTCTATCCGCGACAATATGATAACTGTCTATTTTTATTCTTTCATGATCGTTTAAAATGAATTTATGGATAAATAAGTAGACTAAATCCTAGTAATAAATGGACAATTATTCTACAGAATTTACGACGTCAGATACAAAAAGCACAACACAAGTTCAGTATGGCAGATGAAGATAAGGACGGCAAGATGGACAGCGATGAGTACGTGAACTTTCAACATCCAGAAGAAACGAAACACATGGAGGAACTCGCAGTAGACGAGATATTGGAGGACGTGGACCAGAATGGAGATGGGTAAATATTCATGATAACAAACCTGCATCCAACGCCATTATTTCCTTAATTACTGACAACCAAAATAATCAATGCAACCAACCCTGTCAACAACCAACCATCCACCAACCAACTCACTAATCAACCCAACCCAACACACAACCCACCAACCAACTCACTAATCAACCCAACCCAACACACAACCCACCATCCAACTCACTAATCAACCCAACCCAACACACAACCCACCAACCAACTCACTAATCAATCAATCTGCCTTCTTGAATGATTTTTCTTGCAGTTTTATCACAATTAAGGAGTTTCTTGGGCAATATGGCGACGTGGAAAAGACACCGGGCTGGGTTGAGCGAGAACGAGAAGAGTTTGCGCGACAATTTGATAAGAATAAAGATGGTAAACTGAACCGTGAAGAAGTGAGAGACTGGGCGCTACCTCAACGAGGTGAATCATTGGATGAAGCTAAGCATTTGATTGACGGCTCGGATGATGACGCTGATGGTATTCTGTCTTTGGAGGAAATCTTGATTCATTGGGAAATGTTTGTAGGAAGTAAAGCTACTGATCATGGAGAGACTTTGAGACAGATGAACAGAGTAGAATTGTAAAAACGCCTAAAATTAAAATAATATATCGGTGTTTTCTATTGAGTCAAGCGGAGTCAATGAGGAAAGAGATGATGAACTGGGAAAATTGTTGAATGTAAAAACGTTTACGYATCGTCGAGTTACTGGAGTGTCATTGAATAAATTACCATTTCTACCTATTAACCTATTATCAAATACACTACTCTTTTCGCAAACATTTGTTATTTATGTATTTTATCCTTTCCACGACGCAAAACAATAAGAATAATATTTACAATTGTTAGAGTTTACTTCACATTTTATGCGATTCAACACTGACCACTAAGTTTATCACCACATTTACTTTGATTCCTCTGCCAAAGATACAAACAACTGACGTATCTCATTGCGCTTGCGCATGGCAATATCGTCAAACCGCTGTCCATATATTTTATAGATCGCATTTCTCCGCTCGCGTGCTTCGTTTAAAGTCAATTTTGGTTCTTCCTCGGCTAGCCGTCGGTCGCACGATGGGGTAAGTCCGCTGACTACTTTGACTTTTACTCTTTTCTTAGTATCGGCTTGTTGTGGGGGATGACTTTGACTTATTATCGGGAGACTGGGGCTTTGAGACGTCTAAAATATATTTAAAAAAGATAAAAAATAAAAATACAGCAGAAGTGCTGCCATATGAGTTTAAATCCCCCGTTTAAAAATATAGGGATACCTGTGCCCTGAGAAGTCGAGCGTGCCAGTAATTAGACCTGGTGACTACCCCACTGAAGTCTTTGTTAATGGACTCCAATCTACAAGTGTAAAAGATGTAACAAACTTAGGCGACAATCATGTAAAACAGTATTTATCATTTTAATGAGATAAAGTTCATGTATGCATGCAGTCTAGTTTGTTAACCCATGGAGTCACAAGGTATTCCTTGAACAGTTGGTTTGTATACTTACTCTTTAGCGAACTTTAACTTCAGCTTAGCCTCACTTGGAGGGGCTCTCTTAGACATCCAGGGAGTTCCCATGACAACCTAATGTCAATGATTATAAATTAGAGAAAAGTAATCATACATCAGCAAAAGAGAACTGAAAACCAAACGATTACCTGGTTAGATGCTGTTATCAGGGGTGAAAGGGAAACCAATTTTACACTGGACTCTGACGATAGCTGCAACAAATTAAAATATGATTAAAATTGCGTCACATGGACTTGACATGGAAGCAATATGATGCTTACTTCTCGAACTTGTAATCGAATTCTAGAGGTTCCTGTCTTTATATGTCCTGTTAGAGAATGAGTAAAGGATTAGAATGATAGAAGCAACAGTGAAGTCACACATAAAGTATAGCTCTTAGATTAGCTTATTTGACTGCCACAGTTGATGCAAAAAAACTACATAATCTGAGAACATTTTACAGGAAAATTACCGATGTAAACAAGTACAATTTGATTTTTTATTCATCGTTACCTAGCAACGCAGAAATAACGTTGTGCGCCCCCTTAACCATCGTTTGGTTGTCGTCACTTTTGTTAAAGAGCAGTGACTGTCCGACCTCGTAGAAACCAACAGCAAGGAGAAACCGCCGAATATCATTATTACACCACAAAGAACGAACCATGAGATCAGAAGTCTTGATTATTCTAACGGGATACTTGTTTGTGATGGCGAGCTACAGCAAAACGAAAACATAAAATTATTTTAACTGGCGATAAAGGATGTTTACACGGACTACTGCTCGATATATCACTATACAATAACTTCCAAACAAGTCACCTGAACTATTAGATTACAAATATCATACGATAGCACTAAAAATACAACATCGGCAGGGCATACTTACCAATTCCTTGAGTTTCTCCATATTTCTGTGACTCACATCTTTCAGAAGTCGAGCCAGCAAGTGTCCAGCCATGGAAGATATATCAAAAATACCTAAAGACATTAAAAAACCCCAGATAATTAAATCATTCGACACAATCACCAGCACTGTGTTGCCTCTGGGGGAGGGGGAAGGGGAAAGGACGGAGCGGAAGAACAACCTCTGGAGCCATCACGCAGACTACATTGGCACCATGCTAAACCCCAAAACAAGGAAACTGAGGCAAGCCCTCTCTGACAAGTTATTCATATATACTTACTACACACAGCATCAAATATGATAGCACCAGCGTCCAGTAAGTTTTCATAGTCCCAATGTGGAAACACAATGTATGGATCTTTGTCTTTAGCTCCATCTGTCTGGAAACTAAAACCAAGAAAGACCAGTAAAGGTGTACTAAACGGTGCGTCGAGGATCTTAGAGCTCATATGAGTCGACATGATGACCTGGTCAAGGTTTTGACCTTCCTCGTACGCTGCCAGCATACTATTGGCCAATTTTATCTGTCAAGAACAAAGAAACAATCATAGTAAGCTGAACCTTATGATATAATTAAGGGACGTAATGTTTACATCATTAGAGGATATTGTATGATTACCGAATGACATCGGATCACAGTACGAAGACACGGAGCGGTCAGGGAAGACCTCGACTCATATAATAAACCTGAATCACTGTTACATTACAACACGGTCAGGGAATGAAATCAAAGTATAATATAATGAAATAAAGGATTAAAGAATGAATACATACCACGTCTCGCAGAGCAGGTAAAATGTCTTGCATTGACCCATGCTGCAACATGAGACTTGTCAGAATACTGCGTAACTTGTCTGATATTGCTGAGGATGCAACAAATACATCAATACACACAACAGAGAAAAAGAGAAAGGGAAAGAAAGAGGAAGGTTTTGAAAGGGAAGAAAGCAAGAAAGGAGGGGCCTGTATACAATACCTTTGCTGTCTTTAGCATCCATTGTCTTGAAAGTAAACCTACTTTGCGCCACACCCTTGACTTGTCCATCAAGTACTTGAGTAAACAACTTGTATCTCAATCTCGGTAAATCAATCGTTGTATCAAATCCCAGCATAATATGAGACGACCAGTAGACTGGGTCAGAAAACCCACTCAAGGACTTCATTTGACTGTAGGCTCCTTTCAGTGCAGTAGCTACCGTCTCTCCCTGCAAAAAATAACGCATGATATTTGACTTTGATAACGTAATATATAATACTTTATTTAGTGGTAAAATAACTGTTAGTATCATCATTGTAATCATAATCATAGCCATCATCACAGAGAAATGACTGACGTACCTTCTCTAAGCCTAAGTACAGATACGAGTAAAACCTGACAAGCGGTGTTTGTTCAACAGACCATAAAGGACAAACCACACATCGAGCACCGGCAGCCATCAAAGCTGTAGCCAAACTAAGGTTGACTTGTTTCAGATAACAAAACTCATGACTGCAAGTAACACAGCTACTAATAACAATAAGCTTTGCTTTCAAATCCAACGCTAGAAGATCATTAATAGCTATCAAGTATGCATCCTCTGAAGGCGGACTACCAAAGCAGTTTGGATTTGGAGAGAACGCTAGACAGCCTTTTTTCCAACTCCCATACGTCACAAGGTGAGCGAGAGAAGACTGGGCTAACATCTCTGAAATATGCTCGGTGGTAGCCTGGGAACCAGTCACTGGTTCAACACCCAATAGTGTAGCCAATGACGTAACTTCTTGCTCAGCCAAGTCCCTTTTACCGTGAGGATACCATTTAGCTCCATCTAGTGTCACACTAGGAATAGTAGGATTGCCAGCAACAAGAATCTTGGTATCATCACCATTTGTTTTTCCATTGCGACTGCTGCGCGTACTCTGGKTTTGTGTTGCGAGGTACAAGGAACGTATACATGGCATAACAGAGACATCAAAGTGCTGATAAAGAGAGCTTCCTGATGAGCCTTGTAGGCATGGGAAAGGAACCATTGACAGTACTTCTGTGGGAACGATGGTCAGGTTTTTAATGTTGCAATCTTTAAGTTGTTCTTGGAAAGGATCGATCAAGATCTCATGAAGTCTTTGTAGTGGTGTAAGGCTTGTTTTAGAGAAGGTACAGGTGAAACAAGATTTCCTTGTACCTTCACCGTCTGATGGTTTGATTGCCTCTTTTGCGCCACTTGGTAATGATCTTTGATCACATTTATAGTTAGACGTCTGGTTTCTATGGAGATCCTCTACACACAATTTGATTCGTTCTTCAAATGTCATGTGATCACAGTTCTTGTACCTATGAAATTTCAAAATCTCATTTTCGGAAGACAACAGCCAACTAATGAACCCATCTTTAAGACGAGAATATACCAGCACCAAGCAGCCACTGGCGTCAATTAATCTAAATATTTCTTCGGCCGTGTTCGGAGACAAATCGGTAGGACCTCGGTCATCGTCGTTGTCCCGTAGAACCTCTTTTCGTCTTAACATATTAACTAATATACGAGAAKTGCAATGTTCGGAGATTTCTAATGCTTCTTTAACACAGTTCATTTCTACGAGTGACTCTTGAATATCCTCGTAACAGTCTATTAATTTATCAGCTGTTTCGTCTTCATATACAATTTCACTTCCTTGCTTGACGAATAGACGGTGTTCTAACACTGGTACAACTTCATTATAGTACTGTCGGCATGCCTCGTATTGCCTCAATGTCTTCATGATCTTTGCGAGTGAAATTCTTGCGTTTAGTTCTTCTTCCTTTTCAAAAAGTTCTGTTGCAAGCTTAAGAGAAAGTTCAAAGTTGTGCTGCGCACGGTAAAGTTGGTTGAGTTTCCAATAGCAAAAACCAATGACGCCATAAACCTGACATTGCAACGTCTCAAGATGTTTGAATTTTACTTGTGTTAAGTACTTCTCGTAATGTTCTAGTGCTTGGCTGTACTCACCAAGAAGCCTGAATGACAACAACATAATTTTAGTAATTGTTTTAGTCATCATCATAAGTTGTCATCATTGTCACTATTATCATCATAATGTGTCATTATCATCATGTCATCACCATCAGTTGTCATCATCATCATTTTTCATTCTTATCAACCATCATCATCATAATGTTGTCATTAAAAATAATGATGAATTTAGACAGATTTCATAAACAAGAACAGACAGCATCATTAGAAATCAAAAAGAAATCAACTCTCACTAAAAACTGTCCATATCAACCCTTATTATCATCATTATCATGACCATTTATCATTAAATATACCCCATACCTGTACATGTCACCAAATTGTTTCATAGCAGTTAGCTCAGAGAGACTGTCTCCGATGCTCATTGCAAGTTTCATATGCTGGATGTGGTTAATCTCAGACATGCTTTTGTTTCCCATAGCTGCATAGACATTGCCGATATTGCCATAAGAATACGACATGGAAACTTTGTCATTGATCTTCTTGGTATACCGTAGTGCCATCTTATAGTGTTCCAAAGCCAGATCAAGGTTTCCCATCAACAGCTCAAGTTCACCAAGATTTGAGTATGCTGTAGATAAATGTGCTTCATCCACAGTCTTTAACACTTCTAAATACTCCCTAGCATACTGCAGTGCGGTCTTAATATCTCTTAATGACTTGTAAGCTTGTGACAAGTTCCATAGTGCTTTGCATTCCTCATTGATGTTCCAGAAACTTTCATACTGACAGCTTGGACTACTGCTTTTGGCAAGATCTCTTCCTACTGCCAGTAGCTTGCCATTGTAAGAAATTGCTTGAAGGTAGTCACCTTGTTTCTGATATATATTTGCAAGGTGTACATATGACTTGAGCTCATACTTCTTGCTTCCAATTTCAAGAGCAAGTTGTAAACAGGTTTTACAGTATAACAGAGCTTGCTTGAGCTCACTGAGTGAAAAGTACGACAGACAAAGTGTGATTAATGCTGACATTAATGTGTTTGAATCAACCATTGACGTTGCCTGTACATGCGACTCTTCAAGGTTACTATGGAATGTGACATTTCCATGGAAACCAGTTGCTAAGTAAACTGATGAAAAACCATGTCCTGTAGTAGATTCTATGATTGCATCTTCTTTGACACCTTGATCAGGGTTACTTGTGTCACTCTGAAGCCAGTAGCTTGCTTTCGTCAAGTTATGATGTGACATCAAAGCTGTTCTCAAGACTGCATTACACAAGATAAAATCTTTGTTTTTACAGAACCGCTTTCCAATCTGGACAAGTACTTCAAACTTGTTAGCATCAACATCATCTCCTATGAGCAGAAAAATATAATGTTTGTCATTTTTCAATACTGATAAATACACATTGAATCAGGATGAATTATTTACCTTCAGTTGAGAGATTCAATTCCTCATCATCCTCCAGCTGACAGATATAGCCACAAACCTGTATTATATTGAGAACCAGTTCTAACGGATGTTGGGAGTCTCTTTCATAAGCTGACAGAAATGATTTCAGTGATTCTGTATAATTACCAAGGTTTTCTAGGGCAACAGCTTTAATAAAATAGCCCTGTGAACAAGAAATACAAGCTTTTCATGCACCATACTATTTTTACAATATTTTTAATATTCATGATGCAAATTACCTTAGGATTGTTAGGTAGAGCAATAATTAATCTCTCTGCATCTTTCTTTGCTTCATTGTGCATTCCTAGTTTACTGTAAACAGCAGAACGGCATCCAAGTATCTCCTGGTTTGTTTCATCAATGTCTAAAGCATCAGTATAGAATGATATAGCCTGCAGTAGATCAYCATTACGGAAGGCCTGGTCACCTTTGGACTTGAGTCTTGAAAACTATTTGAAAACAATTTTATTAGAACTAATGAGGGTTAAACAAATCACTGGTTAAAACGTTTTCTTGGATAAACACACTTTCATGTTATGACATGAGTTTTCTGAACATTTTGTTTAAAGTTGTGAAGCGGTAGTTTTAAAAGTTTTAAAAGTGATATGCAAACAGTGATCGATTTTTAAACTTACCGTCGGCATATTCAAGTAGTTTTAAAAGTCTTAATATCGAAAGTAAACTTCATAAATCCAGACAAAAAGCTCAACATTGCCAAACAATCAACGCAAACAAGTATCGCATCGTGAAAAATATAACTCTTCAGCGCCTTGGCTTTTGGCCGTTATTGCTTGACTTCATATCTACATCATCATTGATTGAATTCAAAGCGAACAGCAGGAATTATTGGAAAATATTGTTCCAATTCGAACGCGTTGCTTCCGCCATTTTGTTTCTTCTTTGCGTCCCTTAGCAACCGCGTAATTTACATACTCGTTCCAATGCTTTCCTGCCAAGCTAGGAACGCCTGGTTGAATACCGCATCTACCTGCTCTTTTTGAAACAAAGAGGGAGATTTTCTTCTTTTGTTAGAACAAATTTGCAATTTAAAAGCCAAAGGAAAGCTTCTTTAGAAAGAGAGGATATTTTCACTAATTTTCCGGCCAAATTTCTCCTTGAGAAGACTGTCGTGTTCCAGCGTTTCTTTGTTTATATTATAAGTGATTCACGCCATGATGGACAATACAAAACCATCGAACAAAAGGCCTTTAAATCTTATGTTCTTTCTTCATGCCGTCTCTCTTGTTGTTCTTTTAACGACTGCTAACGACACCAACGATGATTTAGGACAATTTACCAAGTGGCTTCACGACCATGGTAGTAAATTCCGTTGTAATTTCAGTAGCGAGACTGGCAGTGTCGAAGTGATTGCAGAACGAAGGATTCACGATAGGGAGTCAGTGTTCATGATACCACAGACTTTACTCATCAATTCTACAGTCATTGACAGGTAATGAATTTTTTGTTCATTCAAATTGCTTAAAAAGTTTATTGATTTCATCTTATTTCCCGCCGTCCATCCGTACTCTCATCCCTTTCATCCGTTTTTAAAGGTGACAACAGATTCCGTTTAATATCTTATATTCATATATTGTACATTCATGCGATCATTCTTTCCTCAGTTCTGTTTTAGGCCCATCTCTTGACTACGTGTCCATGACAGAAGCCAGTATTTCAAGGGAAAAAGATTCGGAAAAACAGAGCATTATGCATCTATTCCAGCTGGCAATATACATTCTCTATGGTGTCCACACTAAAGATGAATTTTGGTTCCCTTATTTCAAACTATTGACGCGAAAGAATGAAAAGTAAGACATAATTTCTCATGCTGCTCGTTTATACTCAGTCAAATATATTGTAACTCAGAAAATGTAACGCCTTTACGACCCTTTACTGACGATAAATCTGATATCTTTTTTGAATAGGTGCCACAATCTTTGGATGTGGACTGACAAGGAACTAGACGAACTTCAAGATGAAGCATTAGAAAAAAGAGCCAAGAAATGGAGAGAAGAAATTCACATGCTTGCCTCAAACATAGCCCCTAAACTGGTCAAAACTGGAGTCTTTCCTGATGGAATATCAGTAGATGATCTTGTGAGTCTACTTTCTTGATATTTATTCTTCGTTGCTGCAGAACTGTTATATTTTTTTCTTCTTCAGAAAAACGGAGTTTGTCTTGCCCAGTCTAGTAGCTTTAATATCACTAGTGCATCAGGTCAACCGGTCAGGACTCTTGTGCCTGTAAGTACAACTCTAGCAGCTATTAATATCAAATACTTCACTCATCAAGTCAGTTTTCACTCGACGAACGTTCAAATGATCCATATGTTATGTCATTCAAGGTTTTGAACCTATTTAAAGTAAACCCTGACGTCCAGTGTACTTGGTGGATGAAAGATGGTGTACTCAGATACCGCTACAACACAAAGCCAATCGAGAAAGGAAATCAAATATTCATCAACCTCAGCCCTACTGGAGACAGCACGCAAATGCTCTTTGAATATGGAGTGTTTGTCTCAAAAGGCAGCAAGTTTGTTAGTAATTTGAAGAAAGCCAATAGCTTACTGCGGAGACGTTTCATGACGGACTTAAAAATACGCAAGAAAATCAAGTATTCAGACAAATTTACATTTAAATCAGCAGCATTACCTTACTTCCGGATAGAAGCGCTCACTGAACCGGAAGTTGAAAAGATAACAAAAGAGGTTGCAAACAATGAAAGTTTGCTGTTACCAATCAAGAAAGTCATCAAAAGTCCTTCAATTTACGTAAAAAGCGATCCTTATTTCTCGTGTAAAAGTGAAGTGGTAGCCTTGAATACATTGGCAGTACATTTAAGAGATGAACTTAAAGATAAACCAACAACCATTCCTGAGGACGAAAAGATTATGTCCAAGACTTTAAAACCACGCCATGCTTTAGCAGTCTCGTTTAGGTTACGCTTTAAAAAACTAGTAACAAAATTCCTTGACGCGACAAGTGCTCGTTCAGTTACAACAAAAAAAGAATGTCTTAGTCGTGATAAAGATGAGTTATAACACAATCCTAGCATCAGGTTACGTGACGGACTAAGGCAGTAGAGATAGGGAAGGATAATAATAGGGCAGAAATATGTTAGCCTGACTATCAAGCCCTATTGGGTGAAGGGAATCACGGTACTCAGACTACTAACATATTTATATCATGATAAATTATAACACGAAGTCAAGATATTGGAGTTAACTTCAAAATAAATAAAATGAAATACGAAATGTTTAACTCTTGGATACTCTTATAAGTGAACACCAATGAGCGTCAATACAACTTTTAGCAGGCGGAGCGAACACGGGGGAAAACCGTTTGAAGTGTTCCGCTTTTAATATAGAGGATCTTAGTACAGTCGAGTCTTGTTTTCTAACCAATCCCTTCGCAAGTCCTTTTCATTTATTTTTTCAAGGTATAACTATGTGCCAAATACACTAAATTTATTTTTATTGGTAATGCCAGATGGTCGGTTCTGGCGAAGCGATGAAGATAAGGGAGATAAGGTCTTCCGAGGGGATTGGTGAGGAACCGAAAATTACGCGGAAATTTATCTGACTATTTTGTAGAGATAATTGATTTTGGCGTTGAGCTATTTTCTGGTTTGATCCAAATTTGTATTATAATCTTTGATGATATTTTTTGCTGTTCTTGCTGATTTTGTATGTAAGGATTGGGGTCCCTGTGTTTTCAAGAGTCAGCGGCATTCTCAGCCCCCCATAAGTCTTTGCGGGAAGTAACCGCTCGTCCTCTATCAACTAAACATCCAAAATGGTGGGTATTCTCGATGAATATGATGTCTCAATCCAACTGCATCCGCTTGTTTTTTGAATCATCATACCCATCCATTGCAAACATAGTACCTAGAAATCCTGTTCTTTCGCTGAGGTCTTCTATTTTTGTTATCGCTATAATGATAACCATGAAATAAACCATTTTTGAAGCACGATTAAAAATGGAATGTTTGTCTGCTAAATATATGTCTCGATATCTTTGTCTTGAAAAACCTTTGAATCTCAACGATTTATGTCTAAAAGTTTCTAAAAGGCATATTCTAGTGATCAATGTTTGAGCAGCAAATGTTTAGATGGAGGTTTTAGTGTGCTGTATGTCTTAAAAGTACACTCCATGAGTGGAATGTGTTCAAAATCTCGAATCTTAATTTGCTAGCCGCATCTAAATAGTTTGCTAACTAGCTAGATCGTTAGTAAAACAAGTAGAGTTAAAAAACTGGATTTTTTTTTCAATGTTACTCCCAAAAATGATAAATTAAAACAAAGATTTACTTTATTTACTTACCGACTGTAGCATAGACCATGTAGTGCAGCGAACATGTCCATCTCTCCAAGTTTCTATTGTTCCTCATTGCCTTATAATTGGGTTATTGTTTGCTGTGTAACATAGTGTAAAACTATTCCTAATTTATCATAAGTAGTTTTTAGCCCAAAATAAGACATTTTCTAACAGCTAAAATCGTTGCAATTGTTTAAATGCAGGTGAAAGCTCACACGTTGAGGGGTAAAAAGAAGGAGGATCTCCGCAAACAGCTTGATGAACTCAAGACTGAACTGTCACAACTCCGTGTTGCTAAAGTTACTGGTGGTGCAGCCTCAAAGCTGTCTAAAATGTAAGTGGTGTTCTTGTATTAGTGTGTATAGAATACTAACATTATTGAACATGTACATATCTCCTTGTAAATGCTTTCACAAGTTGCTTAGTTGGGTTATAGAAGTCTATAATAATTTTACTACATGATATTAATAGAAATGAACTTTTCCTGTAGTAAGCTTGTGAGGAAGTCTGTTGCACGAGTATTGACTGTCATCAGCCAGACGCAGAGAGAAAACCTGAAAAAGTATTACCGCAAAAAGAAGTACATCCCCATTGACTTGAGGGCCAAGAAGACCCGTGCTATGAGACGTGCACTCACCAAGAATGAAGCAGCCCTCAAAACAAAGAAACAGCAGAAAAAGATCACTCATTTTTCATTGAGAAAATATGCTGTAAAGGAATAATGTGCTGTAATAAATATTGAAACAAGATTCATTGTATTTCTCTGAGTGTTATATTTATTGTCGTAAGGCAACATTTTTACAATCTTTGTTTTCTTACTACTTTCTTCATTGAGGAGCAGTTGTAAAGTTGTTTCTAATGCCTTGATTTTATAGTATTTAACTTAGTGACATTATTTGTAAGTGTATCAGTCAACATTGTCTGTTTATTTTCCTTTACCTTGGCTTATGCACTTATAAATATATATTATGTATAACTTGTCTGTGTAATAGTATTCTAGGCACCTTGCTTTTCATAGTAATGTAGTTCAATCTTGGAACAATTAATTTGTTCCCTGCAAAAAATGTTTTGTGTTTTTTGGAAGATAAAGCTGCTTTTAAATTGAATGCAAGGGGTCTATATTTAAATATGGAATGACGAAAATTAAGAGAAATGGCTAACAAGTTACATGTCACTATAAGTTTCTTTTGTGTCTCCATGGAGCCCTTCAGGAATTTGTAGTGCTAGATTTAGTACTTGAACAGGACAGCCTACATCATCCACCATGAAGTGTAGATATAAACACTATTGTATCATTTTGCTGTATTTGATAATCTAATTCACCCTGAAATGGAGAAAGCCTGTTAGGATACATTCAAAAGTGAAAATTAGTTTAGCATGGACTGACTTCAAAAATTGCAATGGTGGCATATAATTTGTTTGGTGCAACTTGCATAACAAGTGTCTGATTTTGGGCAATAGTACTGTTTCTGTGTTGGGATAACTGTGTAAAGCCAGTATTTTATCACAAATTTCATGAGAGGGCATACATGAACCTACTTGTATGGTGATTTTGTGGTGTTCAGTGATGAATAGTCTCCTTCGCAGCCTACCCTTTTGTCGTGTGACCCTGTCCGTCCCAAAAGAATGCTTCCTGTCCCTCCCGAAAGAATATTCTTTTAGGGGGGACAGGAACCCCAACAAAATGGTAGGCTGCGAAGGAGACTAACTGATGAATGACTCCTCTTTTATTCAATCTTACCAGTAGCTCCCAGTCTGCATCATTTACAAGTACAAGGATACCAGGTCTTCTGTAAAGCAACAGGAAACATTTGAATGAAAGATTGCATAATATAAAACAGTAAATAAAACACCAGTAATAATTTCATTTTTGAATGACAACCATGCCATTGCATGCATTGAATTGAGATGACTGTTGCCTTGATAGATACCAGCTGTGCTCTGTCATGAAGGGTAATGACAGGTTTCTATCATTGCACATGATACTGGACATTCGTCATCTAACTTTGATGCAAAGCAGTGTTTCTTTTCAAGATGACATAGTGAATCCAGAAGGAGACTGCTGAATGATGTTGTGTCATCTTAGTACTTACACGCTTTCTCCCTGCATAAAAAGTTCAGGTCTTTCTTTCAATAAATTATCTCTTATCCATACTAGCAGTTGTTTGGTTGTCCCTAGAAAAAGTTAGTTATAGTCTTACATATAGTGCTGAAATAAATAGATCGAATTTTTCATAAAAAGAAATGAATGAATCGAATAGAGTTCAATGAAAGTCGTGTGTACTCACATGTTTTGTTGTCTTTGCATTCTAGGGTAACATCATGCTTTTTAACTTTGTCAAATAAAAGTTCCGCTCCTCCACTAAAACCATTAGCACATTAGTAATAATCAGTGAAAGAATGATCGTACTATAACAGTTAGAAATGCCACTAAAGACGTACCTGAACTGGATTGTTACTTTCAGACCGTCCGCCATCTTGGAATCCAATAAAACACAGGGAACCCAAGTAGTTGTTTTCAGATGCCAGACCCTCTCCATTGCTTGCGCTGATAAAATCCAGGGAAGAAAATCCCGAATGGGTGTCAGCGCAGACTATTATTATGTCTTACTGCCAAGAAGTTGTGCCATCAATCATGGAAGGTAAGACAACTTCTGAGTAATAACCAGACCCATTTGAGATCACCTTTCCAAGATTGCAACCATTATCAGTTTGTGAAACACTTTGTGATAATTTGCACAAATCTGAATTAACTTGATAATAAAGATTTTCACTAAGCTTTCACAGATACAGTGATTGGAATGCACTCTAATGTAATAGACATTCAAAACTCAAACTTGACTCAGAAGATCTGAGAGAAACTAGCAATTTGTGATAATCAAAGATCACTACGACAAATATTGCACAATAAATTTTATTGTTTTGATATCAACAATTACTGCATTCAGTTGCGCTTTCTACGCGATCGTTTCTTCTGGACACCAGCAGTTGGTTTCTGGCTTCTCAAGATAAGACTTGCGCGGCGTACGGCAGCATCCATCAAGTCTTGTCGATAGTAGTTCTTCTGGCAAAGACTTTTGATGCCTTTGAGTGAGCGTCTGGAATCCTTGCTCAAGTTGACTTTGTTGTACAGCTTGCTGGGCTGTCTGACAGCTAATAATAATAATAATAATAAATATTATTTGTACCAAGCAATATAAACATGAGTATAATGACTAAAAATAAAGGAATCCTCTGCGTTTACTTGATATTTTAATAATGAGTATAATGTTTTACGGCATACCTCCTTTCACCTTTCTGACAGACAGAACAACTCCCTTGCCACTGGGTGCTTGCTCAACACCAATAGTCTACAAACAACAGATTATTGTCATGTAAATGTGGAATATTTAAAAGTGTAGGAGCAGAATGTTCACAGGGTGACAGGAGGGAGGTGTAAGGGTTCACGGTGATGCGGTATTGAATGATTTTCGGGTCGGTATTGCAGTAATTTTTATTTTTAAATGCAGTAATGTGGTTTTAAAAGTATACACGGTTTGCGGTAAATTTGAATATGAAGCATCGGTGATCGGTAAAAAAATAGTTGGCAAGGTTGTAAGGTTTAACAACCGTTCACTCTTTTAACTTAAGGTCMGTTATAATGAAATTTAATTTGATTTAATTATTTGTTAGTGTATTTGCTTAGTGTTATTGTTAATTTCTAGTGAAATATTTCTCAAAGCGCCTACTTTCAAACACGGTGACAGTATTTTGGTGAATTTTATTGTGGAAATATGGTATTTTACCTTTTTATGTGCGGTATTGCGGTATTCACAGTACCCTTACGCCCCCTCTAACAGGTTTGCAGGAACAGACATTTTGTATGTTCAATGCATATTCATTTTAAGCTACAAAATACACTGTACAATACAGCATCTTTGATTACATTTAAGCATTTCCTTTGATTAATGTAAGTGGTTAACCAACAGAATGATATGAATAGAAGAAGTATTTCAACATCTGAAGAACTATTCACTGCTGGCTCAGACTAGTTGGTTGACATCTTAATCACAAGATTAACAACTCACCTTCTTGTTCACCAAGCCATTATACTTGTATGAGTTTTGCCCAGTCAAATTGTTAGGCTCCTAAAAGTAAGAATGTAGATCCTTAGGGCACTGAATAAAAAACTACTTCTTAACTTTATCCCTACCTAAAGACACTGTTCCATGGTATAGTTCAGGGCTCACATTGTGAAATGCTATGAAGTTTTGTCTGTACTATGGTGTACAATAACTCATTCCATAAAAATATAACATACCTTGGTCAGAGTCTTGCCTTGGCTTTTCACCAAGAAACAGCTGTTCTTTCTAATAATGGCCCACTGTAGATCTGCAGACATCCTGACTACATATGCAAACAGGACGTTAACAAGACAAATTAACTCAAATAAGTCACTTGTTTTATGCTTAAATACATGTACGCCAAATACTGAGATCTCAAACAATCAAGTTGTCTTAGCAAGCTGTAACATTTTTTCATTGTAACAGAACTTTCTTCCCTTAACACAAATTATAAAATTGGCCTCTAAGTTTATATCTATATGTTAGAACATTTTCTTGACTTCTTATCATATTGAATACTGCTACACCATAGAAATAAAGTAATGACACATTTAGAATTGCGCAAAGTTAAACGGTTCACAAAGTTATCAGGAAATCGTGAACAAATCGAGTTTTGTAGACTCAACGTGGACAGCACTAAGATCTTTTTGCCATCACCGTTTTGCCTTTTCCGACGAAACAAAATGACGAAAAGTCAGATCAAAGGAAGAAATATACTTTATTGATTTATTCTAGCTTATATTGCGGCCGGTTATATCTCCAAAAGGTATAATTTTTCACAAAAACAAGAGTAGTTTCTCAATATAACCCACCTTGAATGCAACCACGAGCTAAAGAGAAAGAACAGTACGCATGCGCCAGCAATGCAGGGGGGCTAGGATCCAGCTCGTCGCAACTTTTCTTTACAAAATGGCGGACGAGGAATGAGATTTTTTGGAAGAAATATATTAAAGGAAATAATATGGGAAAAACTGTAATCGCAGAGGAAACAGTATCAGACTATATATCGTCATTATATGGGACTCGATCTTGGCAGGCTGGTCTAGTCATTGGACAGGTAATTCTCTTGATAATTACGATGTAGTTCCGACAAAATGGCCAATAACTGACGTGTACTATTGTAATATAAATGTGTCTTTATTTGTTTCGAATTGCTCTTAGTTTAGAAATAATAGTGCGTAAATACCGGTACAAGGTGTTTTGTTAGATTTTGTGATTTACCTATTTTCCCATTTATTCATTCGTTCACTTTTTCCTCCATTCATAGTTTCCATTCTGTTATTTATCGGATTTTATCATTTAAACAGCTTACTTCTCAAAAGCTTTTTATTGTTCATCTGGCAAGAACTCCAGAAAAATCAACTAATCCAGGTAACAAATGGTAGTTATAAAATTAGAAAAAGGTTAAAAACATCGTCATTGCTGATACTCTATTTTATCAGATGAGGAAGCACCATCAAAGATGCCCTCATCACTAGAAGACATTGATGATACTTGGTTTGTAGAACATTCAAGACAGGTAATGAAAAATGAGTAGATGTAGGTTTAAATGTTTACAAAGAGGACTGTATTGTAGGGTACAGTCGACTATCACTAAGTGGTCTATATTGATGTGTAATGTATCTTGCATACATATCAGTTGATCCTTGTGAACCCCCAAGCATAATCTTCTGTTTTTCCTATATTTACATTATTTTAGGTATCTCGTATGTTGGTTGGTGGTCTTGATGTTATAGGAGTGTTTGTGTTTGGACCCCCTGATAGTCTCACAAAGATTCAATCAAAGATACGACAACTGTCATACTCAGTCTACAAAGCTACTTACCTCAAGTATTCAGCTTTCTTTGATCCTGATAATTTGATCCATTCAAGAGTTGTGTTGCAGATTTGTTCAAAAACTAAAAAGTATCCTTTAAAATATGCTACATTTTAAATTTATTACAAAAACAAAATAAAATTTAATGTAATACAAATTGTCACAACAAAAGGAACAGTAAAATGGCAAACAGTCATGACAAGGAACAGACACTTACTGCAACATTGTAAATTATATTCCTATAATTTGTAATTTTCAAATCATATTTATTAGACTTTAACTATAATAAAACAGAATCACATGTAAAACCTTGGACGTGTCAGATATAAAGGTAATCTTCAAATCATTAAGCAATGTTGTGTTGTACAATGTTGTACAGCTCTTCATGACTGTATTCATATTTGGTTTAGTCCACAGCTCAGCCAGCTGATTACAAGTATCAATCCTTTGCCAACAAATGGAATATATTGGAGAGCAATCTAACTTTAAAATATGAATTTAGTGTACCCAGGAGAATGGAGAAAGCTGACCTTGATGTTAAGATTACAGTATGTTTCCACCAAACATGTTAACAAATATAGCTTATTTGTGTAATTCTATGTATAATTTTCAAGTAATAGGTGTAGTTTACTGTATCATGTATATTCCATTAAACGTATTGAAGGTTTTGTGGTTAATTATCTTCAGGAAGGTCTGCAGTGTTATCTAGAAGAGATATCAAACTCCATATGTACGTTCAATAGTAAACTTCTACCAGAGGATCAACTTCTAGTACCCACTGATAAACATGTATGTACATCATTGTCAAATTACAAACATTTTGTATCCATTAAAAAAGGTCTAAGTTACGATAGTGTTTTCTAGTGAATTAAAAAAAATTGTTACATAGGAAATGACTGATTTTGATTGTATTTTTTAGAGTAAATCCCAACAATCAAGTATGAACATGAATGTTGATATGTATCTTCATAAGGTATATTTCGTTATACTTCTCTGATAAATGAGATAGCTCCTAAACTTTGGATTGATTTCTGTCTGTTTGCAGCCATATATAGAAGAAAGCAAGAAGCCAAAGAAAACAGAATCTATTGGATTAGTTGATTTGCTAGGAACATATCAATGTAAAGCAAGCCTGAACCAAAAGATCACGGTCAGGGAAGCCATTCAGGTACATGTTATGATGACAGTGATGATGATGATGATGATGATGATGACAGTTAAGTGTAGTTATGGAGACAGTAAATGATGATTGGGAATGATGATCATGATGTTTAGTTATAATGATGATTAACAATCGTGTTTCATATGCAGGCAATTAAGTATGATGCCATCAGAAGTCTTATTTCACGCTTTGAATTATTGTACGATGACATTCTTGACCAGCAGTCAACCGAAAATCCTGAAGGTGTGTGGTAATACTTGTGCATCGCATGGCAGCTCTATGAAGGAATATAACAATACTTTTATATCTTTGACAAATATAAGCGTCAAACAAAACGAGCCAAGGAAACGGGAATGCAAAGAGAATGAGAAAAAGGAGAGAAACAAATGGATAGAGCAAGATATTTAGGTCGTAAAATAAAAGTGAGGAGCGAGAAGGGTCAAGACCAGTCGTTTGGCTAACAACTCGCGCTATATCTACCGCATGTGCTTTATGTGTATAATGCACATTTTCAAACATCATAGAAGTTGAAGTAGACACTTTTTGTAAATGCGAATTCGTTGATAGATTATCGATGATTTTGTAGAGTCAGCTTCAGAAAATATATGGGTGTGTCCAAGAAGAGTCTTTGTACCTATCAGCAATGGTCCGGTTCATTTCTGTGACTATCTATTCCAAGATGAAACCATCCAGGTAATGTGTCTCAGCGAAAGATCAAGTCTTCCATTCGAACAATCGATCATGTCTTCCGTTCTAATGATAACTGATTACATTTTGATTATGACCATTTGCTTTTATGATAAAGGATTCTATAGATMGTCTCAGTGAACTTCTGGACATCAACCCAGACCACGACGAAGTATGTTCGCAAGAAACAACACCAAGTACGTGACTAGGTTTATACTATTTGTAAAATTTTGTATTGAGGAAAGTCTGCTTTGATCAAAGTTTGGTTATTGTCTTATGAAAATTTCGTGACTTCGTTTTACTTGGACTTTTTCAGCAAGTCAGAGTCTCCATGAAATGAGAAACGAGGCCAACGCTTGTGAAGAGATCGACGATACTTTGGATTCAAACCCCACCATTACGTCTATCAGTGGTCGTGTTATAGGAGCAGTGGTCGGACTATTGACCGCTGTTGCAGCAACTGGCTTAGCGTTTATGTGGGGAGATCAGACTTAATGTGAACGTGGTCGGATAACAAGAATGAATCCATCCTTTCCTTTCTCAGAATGTTGCAAAAGAAATGCCTCTGTTGAACAATTCGATTGTAGCGAAGCAACGTGAATAATAAAAACCTTGACAAAAAGTATGATAAGGATGGAAATACTTGGAAAGTATAGTATGGAATTAGCCGCGTCCACTAAGGAGGGAGGGGATGGGGAGAATTAAATCAATAAAATTCAAGTCATGTAAAACACTTTATAATAATACTAACAAATTAGTATGTTATTACAAATAAATATTATACCCGTGTAACTGTTGTTAGCATTGTTTGAGTTCTAAAAGGTCATGCGCAGTTGGCTGCGTCATCCGTCATTTTGCTGTCAATCTCGTTAAACGCTTATTTCCGTCACTGATTGATATTAATAACAGCGGATAAAAACTTGATATAAAAATATAATGAAAACATTTCTATTTAGAGTTATAAAGCAAAGGTATTTACATACTATTATGGGATATATATTATAGCTTTAGCACATTTAAAACACGTTTAAAATTTAAAAATGGCTACAAMTTGATAAAACTCCTATGAACACCTATATAAAGAAACGTCGGGAAAGATCGCTCTCTACGCATTGTGGGAGTTCATTCAAGCATGTTAAAGTTCAGCGAATTCCCACAATCACTGTCGATCTCCAATCAGCCTTTCCCAAGTGTTCAGTACTGCAAATGTTAGTTTACGTACGTAGAAGATATTTCTTGTAAAATGAGARGAAAGTTGTGAATGGCAACGAGATGTTGGATATAATAAATACTCCTCTTAATTATTGTTAGACGAGACTATCTGTGTCCAGAGCGAATTAAATCTGATGCGACAGAATTTAACATCTTTTTGGAAAGTCTTTGCATTCGTCTCGCGGCTCTGTTGGCTTCGTCTAGAGATAGGTGAAGACGATGACTGTCGAGCTGAAGAAWKACATAAAATGRATTCAGTACTTAGTGCTTATTGTTTTTCTTTTGCATGTGAAYCCTTAGGAAGATTTTGCACTATCACGGCAAACATACTGGATGGCACAGAATATAAAGATTTTAGTTTGCCTACAAAGTTTATATCTGTCAATGACGCTATAGTGCAAAACCAGAAGTACATAACCAGAAGTGTCCATCTCCCCATTGGTATATATATTGTACTTCTGGCAAAACCTACAATACGCATCGACACCCACCTCTTCTTCTGGATAGAAATCTCTCGTTCTTCTTCTAGAGGTTCTACTACTAGTTCCTCGCCTGAAACAAACACAGGATAAGACGTTACTGATTTTATCCATTGGATAATGTTATATGAGTATAGACAGTACTATCCATCCTTCCGACAACCTCTGTTTTTACCTTCTTGACCGATAGCGATCATCTTCGTCACTGCTGTATTCGTCATCATAGCGATCACGTGATCGACCTTCCGGTAGATGATGAATATGATGAACAGGAGATCCCGAGGGTACCCCTCCTGGGTAGGTACTTGTATGGTAATGGTTTACAGGTGCACTGTGGTACCTACACGAGGAAAACATTCGCATGTAAGAACTATATTTTATACGAAATACACCACTGTGTGGCCTTGACAAACTTACAAACTATGAATTAGAGGGACAATAAGGAATAAATGTTGTGAATGGTGTACTTACCCGTTGTAGTAAGGTGTTGAAGTTGCCTGGGGTGTCGAAGGATAGCGTGTTTGATGTGATATGCCATCTGTTTGAGTACCCATACTATGACTAGGAGTACCCGGGGTTCCGTTAGGAGGTGCAATACCGGCGTATCCGGGATAATAGTAATTGCCGTGGTGATGCACATTACATCCTCCACAAAAAGGGCACAAAAACCGTACATGCCCGGGTTCTCCGACACTACGATTCCGTAAATCGTTTACTTGTAGAGAAAGCTCTTCTAATTGTCGTTTCAAGTCGTCCTTTAAATCAACTTGAGTGGACGAGTCTCTCGGTTGGTCGTTCCTTTTCGAAAGATCTTCGTAYTTTTTCTGTAGATCTTCGTACATTGTTTTCATTTGCTGCTCGGCGTTTCGTCGGGCAATTTCGCGCTCCAAATCGTCGTGTTTCCGTCGGAGATCGCCGTACATTTCAGCTTGAAGGTTGCGTGCACTAGCCTCATCTTGAAGTTGAGTACGAATGCGTTGAAGCTCTCCTTGAAGCTTGTCAACTCGATCCCTGAACAATAGATAAAAGTTAATTCATAATCAATAAAACACATTTTTGATGGAATTAAGTAAAAATTAAAAACAAATAATRACATGCATGAAGAGCTTACCTTGTGTGCTTTCTACCGCCATCACTATACCCACTAGTACTGTCGTCATCACGACGTGAGCGTCTTCCTGACCGAACAGACTCACGGTCCATACCGGGGTAACTACGCATGCTCTGYTTATCCATTGGTCGYGTATCGTGATCAGAACGAGGGCCTAGGGACGAGAAATKTCGTATTAATGAAAGAACAAAGGAAAGCATTCAAACCACAGGCTTTTGTACCAGCCCTTAGCAACCKTAACCACATCATGGCAACAAGAACAGCTGTAGAAGAAAACTTTGTTTACATCGAATTATTTCACATGAGTAAAACGTTCTAGAACGATTCTGAATAAAGGAGATTAAATGTGAAAGGAGATTAAATATTCTGAACTTGTTATGGAATGAACACAAGTAAATATCTAATAATGATCTAATGACAGTGTTTTAGTAATTGTCTACAGTTTTATAGGYGCTTTTGAAAAAAATGAAAGGAAAAACTATACTTTTTTGCTAATAAAATATTTGCCTGTAAAGGTGCATGAAGTAAAAACCAGTATTATAAACTGTTGCWGCGAAAATACAGTTTACTATAGATTGTTTTTCATTTATGCTAGAGATAGTTGGCATTCAACGTTCCTTAAACTAAGCTCGTATTTTCGATATTTCTTTAGTCGTTCAAATGTCTTTACACTCGAGATAAGAGTCATACGGGAATGTGCCAGTGCAGTAAAGCTTGTAGACGAAGACGTAYTCTTGCATGCTATACTATATTTCACAGATTAATAAAGTGGCAAATTGAACATTTCATTTCAAAATTGCGAGATTGCATGCGATCATTTTATGAACTTACTGTCCAAATCAGGGTACATTTCTTAATACTTTTTRCTTCCCAAGCGAACAGGAATCCATCAACACACTACACTAATAACAACAGCTTTCTCACTACTGTGTGGACGGCACACGCCCTGTCATTGGTCAGCATAAAAGATTTTATTCAATGTACGAATATCGACGCGTCTGGCWAATTATAATGGATTTAATTGGTGTAAAAATATGAATAATTAATAATGATTGACAGTATCATCTATTAATACATACCGCAAACACTGTTATAATATCATGTACATTGGCATCTAATATACTGTGGTTTACTCATTTACAATTGTGTTGAAATTTAAAACAATCCGATTCTGATGTCTTCACATCGAAACCACATTCATTCTTGAAAGAGTACATGAAATGGAATAGAATAGGAAAAGGCACAAAGAAGGAGGAAAGTTTACCCCTCTGATGATAGAAGCTTTGAAAAAGAAYAAATCCGTTAATCTGGATTTCAGTCCATTTCTTACTAGCATACAAAACGTTTAGAAAGTCTTTATAAAAACGCTGTRACTTGGACAAGTATTGCTACGCGATTTMATTGACGTTTTATGAATGACAGCTGGACAAAAATRAAGACAGTAAATAACTTTAAAAGAACTTGTGAAAAAAAACCTTGAGACAGTCCGTGCAGACAGTATCCAACTTAATTCTCTTCATGTTAATCGTTAATCAACAACCAATTCTTCAGTCACCGTATGTAATGTTTTGAATACAATGTTTTATAACCCTTCAGGTGATAAAATCACTTGGTATCGGTATAAATAAAACATAAATTCCAAAGAAACCACTGAAGATACAGGGGTTCTATAGACATCATAAATATTTTATATATCATGCTGCCCAACGTGAATGAGTWATCGAAAAACCTTTACCTCGAAGAAATTCTTTGATAAAAAACATTCCTKGAGACAGCAACTAGAATCGCGGTATAAAAGTGTTACTATGGTATTATAGATTGATGTGTCATCATGTAAATACCTAGATACAGGAACCAATGACGGCCTAAACCAGCCTCCAAGAACGGAGAAGAACCTATGAAGAATGAAACCTCGAAACAARATTTCTMACTACATGAACATTGAATTAAATACAGAAAACAACTGGASGAAAAYCAACTTTACCGTAATACTTCAGAAATGTTCTCGCCAACATTGAAGCAATTGAAATCGTCTAAACACTGTACAAAAACCTTGTCGATGCATTTGTAYRAMTTGTGCTCAAGAATGTTWGATTTCTTAAAATAGACGTTTTTGAATCTGTCGACAAATCTTGAAGATTACCGTAAAAACCCTTATGGGTTACAAAGAACAACACACCTGTCAGYGTGTCACGTCCTAATGACGTCAAAATAACAATGTTATTACTAAATATCAAAATGATTGACAGTCTCGTTACTAGGTTTCCTCGACACGACCTGGATACTAAAGTACACAGGAAGCCCATTAAAGTATATTTCGACATAATCTAAAGTATTTTTGCTATGTTTTCAGAGTTCGAAAGACTGATGCATAAAGGTTATTAGCCCTAATCGGCATGCTCTGATTATAAAATCAACTATAATCTATTTATCTGCTACAATCAATCAATCATTTATTATTATTTATATGTAGGAAGGGGGGAGTGACCTCTGATCGCAGGTTACCTTCTAATATAATTTCGTACATTGAGCCTGTACTATTAGATGCCAGCGGAATATAATAATGTACTGGTATAAACTTACCCAAGCGCGTSGACTTCTCTTGATCTGTCAAGCTTTTTCTCATRGAATCTGGMCGAAGTTGACTTTTACGCAGGAGATCAGATCGTASAGAGCTTTCGGGGAGCTCGTAAACGTTCGGAGAAGACGAAGGTCTTCGTAAACGTCCGTCAAGTCTTCGTGATCTTTCGTTATCTGATCGGSTTGCGGGAAACGTAGGAGTATGACGATGTCCTCTCCTATCACGTTGATTTGAAGAGGGGCGRACAATGGTTGKGCTAGGCTCCAGATCTCTATCCTCGTCAGACTCCGAGAGGGATTGGAGGTAAGATCTTCGTCTTCTGGTATCTCGTTTAGAACTCTTGACGGGYGTGTGAGCTACCTGTGGACGGATCCTCTCTCTTTCTGATTCACTAGCTGTCTGTTCTCTTACAACAGGGTGTACAATTTTAGGCTCACGGGGGAYCTCTGGGGTACGTGCAAATCGTGAGCCCCTACTTCCCTCAGATCCAAAGAAACCGCTGTCAAACCCTCGTTCTGTTTCAGCAGTAGGTGGTCGTACTTTGTCCCTCCGTCTTACGTCTTTAGGTCTTGCGCCAGGATGAAACAAAGGTGTTGATACGCGACTATCTGCACTGGAGAGACTAGTTCGATGTCGCCCAGGTCTCCGTTCATTCACGACCTTATCCTCATGACGAGGACTGGATTCTAGTGACTCAGCTGGAATATCGCGACTGCGTGGTGAAATATCGTCACTAACTGACCTTCCCCTATCACGTGAGTAAYCATTAGATCTGTCACGTGATATATCATGTGATCTACCAGGTGGGTTATCGTGCTCAGTTCGTAGAATATCGACCTGACTCTTATGATGCTTAGGCTTACGTCCGTCTTTATTTGAGTCGATCGAATGTCGTGAATCTGTCGTAGCAGCACGTGATCTGCTCTCTCTACCACCGTCCGCATGAGGCTGGTTTCTACTTTGATCTSTTAGAATGCTCGAGGAAGCCTGGGGTGGAGATGGGTCAACAGGTGGTGATGCAGGGTATTGTGGGTAAAACGTCATAGGATCCGTTGCGTGRTTTTCCATAGTGCTACTACGACTGCGTTGACTTGTCCGTCTTGATCGTCGAGGATTGGGACTAGGCTCAATAGACGAGTCTGAAAGGGGCCTGGGAATGGAAACGACGCATTAGAATTTTCCCTTCAAATACACAATTTCTACAAATGATATTTACCTCTCCCTTCCTGGGGATGAGAATACACTCTGCTGATCAAACGACTCATCGTGACCCCTCTCCCCCAAGGGATGTCCATTGGCACTGTTTGAAAGATAGTGATTGGATATCGGGTCTGAGTTGTCATGTGACACACTCATGGTCTCTGAAGCGAAATATCCTGATTCCTGGAGATCAATGCCGCCATTATGAGAGTCACGCTGAAAACAAAMCAACAGYTTCTTAGCAACAAYAGTGATACACAATAGAAAGACTGARAAAAAGTGTTTGTGATRAAGAGGTTTCTATCAAGAGCCGGGTAAATTTAAAAGGGAAGACGGCGYTCATTYKTTKTTTGGATTATTTATTCATACATGCGACAGGCTACTCGTAGGTAGTATAGCGAAATGATTACAAGACAGTTGGACCTGCAACCCCATGTAGAATGTCCCGTTAAAAGTTTGCATGAGTGACGGAACTTTTACCTTTTTATCGCGATCGTCATCTGATTGGTCATTTAYGGCTCCTGCGATAGGAATATATTAAAACATATCACAAATTAACGTCTAAAAGATGACAAKATGGCAATATTATTCATACGAGAATTTTTTTCTTATAAAATATACACGATTACTTTAATTAAGTCAAACAACCTACAYGGATAAAAAARGAAARTTGTCGCCGTGGTTAAACTAACTTATTCACTAATTCCCACTGCTTTGTTCTGTGTTTTAACATACATCCTCTTTTTGTTGTTTTCCCTTAATTTGTTTTGAATTTATTGTAACAGCTTAAACTCTTTTTTGTATGCATTTTCTTACCATTTCCGTTTTAACTGAATCCTCATTTTGCTTCTCATTATATCTTTTGTTCAATAATTTTATTCTTTTTTAATCAAAATTTCACAACAAGAATATCATTCGATAGGCTGWACAGAAGTTTCATCATTTACCTAAAGTAAAATCATCTTGTCCTCTCTGAACCCCATTTGCTTCGTTGTATTCTAAGTCTTCCACGTCTGCTAGGCTGTTAGCGCTCCTGAAGAAGATTRAAACACGTCAAGTTTGACAACCGAAATATTAAAAGGCCGTCTTTTGCGTATGAAAAAGATAAATGCCTAGGGCAAAGTACATTTTGATGGACASATTTCCACTAGCGGGGTTATCAGTGCTGCTAAGAGAGCAAACGAGCYGTTAAAAACAAATTGATGATAATATGTATTTGTGAATATTTCTASCTTAGCGTTGTGAAGCCAATATCTACCGGAGTCAAATAAGCATTTTATCACGTATAATGAASTCATAAAGATCTCAACAATAACTATTACGAAAAACCGTCGATTTTTAAAGAAACGAAAACGTTTTCTTACAAAATACAATTATTTTCAATTTTCAACCAAGAGTAAATGAAAATCCTTGTTTATTTAGTAAAGTTTAACTTTGTACTTTACGCATAACAACCGGCATATGGRATCAGAAAGAGAATATTTAGCATATATTTGTCGAATATAAATATAGTTTCCACCCTAAACAGAACAAATCAGATAAACTCAACTACAAATTGGAAAATAAAACCAAAAAAAGATGTCTTTTGAATCTGATTTATAATTCAAAACGTCCCTTGACATCAAAATAAATTACATTAATATAWAATGGAAATTCCTTTCATTGGAAATCTATATAATTTCTTCGCTGTATCGAGGTATTTAGTCTAAACACTAAAAACATAAAACATAATCATATACCCGTGGTGTGATCGATGTGAATTCATGGCAAAAATTGCCATAATTTCTGCATCGCAGATATCCTSAATTTCTTGATAATACATAATGGCGTTTGTCAGGCAACTCACATTACCACAGAACAATCCCTGGATTTAGTACGGCTTAGATACAGTTGAACGATCCTCATGGATCAGTATAAGGTAACAAACCGCCGAGATATCGTTTTCATACACCTGCATCAATTTGAAGGTGACGTCGCTCTTGATCGTTACTGACTCGTATTGAATACAATGCTGTTATGTTTGTTTGAATACATCAGGACGTTTGGGGCGAGATCGGCCCCTGCAGCGAAAATTATCATACTAAATCACAGAATAATACAAAGAATTCCTCCTTTGGGAGACAAAATGGAAACAGTGAAAACGATATTTTGTCGGTGTAGTTTTAGTAGTAATTATTGATCAACAGCGATCGATGAGTTTACGATTTTTGTTTTTATTCCCGATTTTTATTTAAGACTTGACACAGCCTGTCGCTTGTGCAATAATGACTGTAATGGCCTATTGTAATTTATGCAATAACACGCAATTGGATAAAATTGAACACTGTCACTGTGAGCACAGGGCATTAATCAAATAGAAACAGCATAATTTGACAGAGAACAGTCTACAAAACCTTCGTGTCTTGATTAAAATCCCAAGATAAACACAAAAGTCAGCATTACAGGAAGAAAAGAGGAATTTCCCAATATTTGAGGTAAGTAAAATGGGATGTTACTAGGCGTTCATGTAGTGTTAACGGTATTTTAAATTCTCTAAAAGGACAAACTTAAAACTATAAAATTCTCACAAGAAGCAATTTAGATAACAATCTTTAAATAGAAAACAAGAACCACGTAGTATTAARGTGCGAAAACGTAACTCTTTTGGTTTTTAGTAATACTACTAAGAGATAAATAACGAATAAAGTAATGAAATACAAGAAAATCTTCACATCTAGTAAACTTTATTTTTTTAATTAGTAATGTGTGTCAAACTTATGCACCTGTAATATGGTATAAGAACAGCAAATAGAAAAGAGTTGACCAAGGTAGTAAACAAAACAAACTATATACCTAGATATTTCAAGAAATACAGAATACTGAACACAGAATTAGTTAGATGTCTGTAATGCAGTCAAATCCTGCTCAACATAATATAATTTGGATAATTTATTCAAGATAATCTTTAAGAAGTAAACAATTTATATTTTATTAATCCTAAACTTATGCTATACTTTTCCCACAGTATGCTTAGTATTCAATATCTTTGAGATACTGTAGATATACAGAGAAACAAGAAAGAGTAAATGATTGCTGCGCAGACATTTTCAAACTATCTTTCTAATGAATAATTCTCCTTGAAAACATCAAAAATGTTCTGAATTTATTACAAAGTCAACAAGAAACTCAGAAGTGATGAGGATATTTTAAAATGACAGTCATCTTCCACCATTAAAATAGTTGTCAAAGAGGAAAATATGAAGACAGACAGACAAAGGAGGAATGGAGATAGAGGAAAGCACAGACATTTCTTTTCTGAATAAAAATAAGGGGCTTCCTGTGTTAGATCAGTACGAGAGCTGACTGGTAAGGAGGCATAATTTTCCACAGGGAACCCAAAATATATGACTTTAGAAATAGATGTCCAGTAGACAATTAGGCAATTACATGGACAGTCGTATAATTAACAGACAGAAAAGATTGACAGAAAAGTACTTTTACAATTAGAAACACATTTTTCAATATTTTTACCTTGATAAAGCATCATCATTTTTAGCAGATTCTTTCACATCTCTTAACCTCTGTAAAAAGAACAGCTTGAATTTCAGATGACATTAAAATCATCATGGATATATCTTCTTACTAACAGATAACAGGAAAAAGGAGCCTGAATGGTGTAATAGAGATAGACAGCGTAACACATACCCTCATTAAATCACTCAGTTCTGGATCCATTTGCTCTTGTTTGGCAGGCTCTTTAGGTAGACTTGATATTCTATGATAATCCCAATGATAAAATATTGTCAACATACAACTCAAGCCAGTTGTACAGCAATGCCTGAGATCCATTCAAAAACTATGGAGCAGACAACAAGCCCCTGAAGTCTTAATTGCATAAATAACAGAATTTTGTAGAGATCTGTTTTCAGGACATCTTACAAATAACACCTTCACTGAGGATAGAGAGTTTTTTTCCTTTTGCTTCTTGGAAGGGAGGAATACTTAATGCTAGAGTACACTAATAAATGCTATACTAATATGTTAATGTATTGTACTGACCTGTTTGTGACTGTTGAATCACTATCATTAGAAAAATGGTGTAAATTCTGATCAATTTGTTCATTAATTTCATCTAATCGTAATCCTAATCTGTATAACTGCAAAATCAAACAAAATATTTGTGAGCGTCTAGCTAACTGGAAAGGTTGACATCAATAWACTGCATTACTGTGGCTCTATCAACTAATTTCAAGAGAGTAAAGTAGTGAATAGTATTTGTACCACAAAAATGATTGACTTTGTCARGTCCKTGCCWCAAARTCTATTAGTATATGATCTCCGTAAACCAGGTTTAGTTTTGAAAACATAGACAGACAGACATACCTGGCCTTCAAGGTCATCTTCATGAAGRAAATCACCAACATCAGAACTGAAAACAGTAACATKAGAATTAAATTATTAATTGGTTGTTATATGTTCAATCAACATTAAACATTTAGGCGTCTTTATGGATATAGACCTTTTTTACTTGTAATAATTTATAAATTTAGTGTGGTGACTGAACATAAGTAGTAAAGTGTTGGACTAGCTATTGCTATTAAAAACAAGACTTAGTGAAGTCGGTCATTATAGCTTTATGACCTTTCTACGGTACTTTCATTTCTACTTYTATCTGCTATACTTCTATTTATATGCAGACCCGATGCATTGCAAAGGCTCTGAAGGTTTGAGTTGCATTGGACATTTCAAGATCCAAAACTGCAGATTTCACAGGCTTTAATACAGAATAAGATCTAACACTAAAGATGCCACTAGTTTAGTCAGGGATCACCTATAGTATTTTTCAAGATGTCATAAAATACAGAGACAAACATACTTCATTTGACGTTTTTCAGTGTTATAAAAGGTCTGAGGTGATCATAGTACAATGCTAGCCTGATTTAAGTACAATGCATGATGACAAAAATATTTTAGCTATGGAGTTTATAAGTACTGTAGCATTCAGTGCCTGTAACATTTTGATAATATCATGTGACCAGGTTTTAACATTACCAATGACATTACTTAAGTATACTAGATAGTAACATAGAAACCACTGAACAAGAAAGGTTCAATTTTCATTGACTTTTGACATACTTGTTGTAACAGATATCCAAATCACCTAGCAACCACACTAAAAACTTCACTTATCTTCAAATTGCATTAAGATGAGAACTAAAATTTACTATAAACAAATTATTATTGAGAAATCAAATTATATTTAATGCTTAATTGTGAAGAGTAGATAATTAAAGTGACAAAATTTTGATATAATTCGTATTTGAAAAGTAAATATTTTGCAGTCAGTAATATAATTGATACAGGTATGTTTTCTTCTGACATAAAATTGTATCAAAGTTTTTATGAACAGATTTGTAGACAAAGCAAATCAAATAGCAATATCTGACCAAGAAAATGAGAATTATTCTTATCTTTTCAGAAGATCAAGCAAATACGTCTTATTTTTTGTCATGACCTCATTGTATGGTGACAAAGGTAGACTAACACGGCTTTGTTTKCACTATTTTCACATATAAACATAACAAAGAAAGAGTTACTTAATTACCCAAAGGACGTATAAAGTATAAAGCATAATATATCGATGATATCATTAGAAAGATATGATATCTTAAAGAAATGAAACAAAATCTCTTTTTAAATGGGCTAGAAATATACATAATAAGTTCATGTTCCAGATCATGTTGAGTAAGTTAATAAAATATTGATGTGTGAGACGATGAAGAACAAAAACAATAAAAAAAGTTGCTGCCGTAACTCGGYTGAATTGAAGTCATTGTTTCTCTTCTCTCTGCAGATACGCATGATACCTAATAACTTTAGAAAACACAGAGACAAGATGTAAACATCCGTCCAATCTCTGTTATACAAGAGAATATTTAACTATCCCTAGACGTCAGAGATGTTTAGCAAAACAAAAGGGCAAGATCAGCATTCGTGTCTCGTGCAGAAATACAAATGTCGATCAATTCAACATGTTTATGATAACAAGAAAACAGCTGAATTTACCTTAAGTTCCCGTCAATACCCGTGCTGTCTTGTTCTAGTTGTTTGGCTTGTATGAGTTCGTGTTTYATGTGCTCATGTTGCCGCGCTAGTTGATTACACACATCYTGTAGTTCTAGTAATTCATTCTGTCCCCATTGCCCATCTGTTACGTGCCCTTGTAAATCTTCTACATTTTCTTGTAAAGTTGGTATTTTGAACATTAAAGCTGCTCTTATTCCTTCCGCTCGCACTTGTGGTGTCAGCAAATCCGATTCTATTTTGTCCGATTCCGGACTGCTTCGGTTGTTCGTTCCATTCGACTGGACTGTTACTACGTTACTTGCGGGTGAACTAAGAGTTGCTTGGCTTGGTCTTTGAAAGTTAAACACGTGTGGCTGTTTCCCTCCAGAYACAGTTACAAATGAGCTTTTTTGAGGAGGAGGAAGATCACTATATAAGTTTAGTTTTGCTCCAATTCTAAGTTGATCAATGGTGTTTTCAGCTTGTGCATATTTAGTGAGGAGCTCGTCATAGTCAGACTGTAATCTTTTGTAAGTCTCGTAAGCTTCCTTACCATGAACTCTACGTAAAGCATCACTCATGTCTTTGCTAGTAGACACATCTGATAGCGTGTCATCATTGAAAGCAGAGCTACAAGTTCTTGATCTGCCAGGCGGTTGGTTTTGAAACTCAGCCATGCGTTCTAAACTATCAACAACAACCACAGAATTCGTACCAAAGTACTCTGCTTCTCCTACTGAATTTACGCATTATTAAATGTAGATGACTACATTTCACTTAATGAAGACTGGATTAAACAATTGGATGATAAAACATGGCGTTTTTTGGACACCTTTGCTTCACCTTTTCAGTCTTTCTAACAAAGAAAGTGAATCATATCTGCCATGGAAACGAGGCCACGCACCGTTGAAGCGTCGATCTAACATCATTTGTGATTGGTTAAACATTGACCTCTATTGTTCAAATACCTTAATTTTAATTGGTTCATAATTACACGGATTATCGAGGTATAGAAAAGAAATATCCTGGAAATGTAAATACAGTAAAGAAAAAACGCATTTGGGAAATCATTTCAAAACAAAATGAAACCATTTTAAATGTTTACTTCTGTAGTTGGCAGTCAAACAAAAAATAGCTGGAATTAAAACAACAAATGTGTSAACAACCTGARTACAATTTTATTGATTTACATTGATAAGAATAGTCAAAAAGGTACAATATTTGAATACAAATGGATTATAGCTGTCCATAGCTGCAGGTCATAGTCTCCTTTCCAGCGCTCATTCGTTTTCGTCGAGCTTCTGTCCTCAGGTTTCCTCTTTATGTAAGGGACAGGAATCCCACCTTGCAGTGACAGAGATCCCCGAAATTATTATATACGTAAACTCACTTTAGT